ACTTATATATTAACAATAACAGTACATTAATGGTTTGCAATTCTATCAACTACTAAAATTGTTCATGTCTTCCTGGGAATTAACTTCAATCCCAAGTAGCAGATTTCCGTTTCCGTCTTGGCTCGTTAAGCGTGGTTCGTCGTTATCCTGTTATTTCCCGGCCGAAATTTTCTGTATGAGGTCTTCTAGTTTCCTCTTCGTCTTCTTCCTTGTTTAAAACTCTGGTTCGTTTCGTGCTTGTTGTTGACTACGTACAATTCTTGCCGTTTCAGGCAAGGAAGAACAAACGTCCTTCACGTAGTTTGTTTTTCTTACTGGGTATTTAGTCCCCTGATTTGCGTGTCTCCTACGTGCGCTTATTCTGTGCTGCAACAAGTACAACAAGAACGCTTCACGTAGTTTGTTTTTCTTACGGGACATTTAAGTTCCCGGTTTATTACTTTTTACTACGTGCAATTTCAGCAAGTACAACGTAGTTTGTTTTTCTTACGACGCAGTAAGTTAATGGCGTCGTTCCATTTTGGCCATGCCATGATAGTTTCTTCGTTTGTCGATGAAGGGAAAGGGAAAGGGAAAAGGTAACAGGGGTACTAGAGGTGCCATTGCAGCTTCGTCGTGAAAAAACTTCATGGTGTTCTTCCCTTCCTCGAAATATGTTTTACAAAGCTTCCCTTGTGCAGTGAAGAAGACAAGCACCTCTTCCGTACAGGAGTGGATAATTATAAAGGCGTTATTATTATACATTGACACGGTGACGGGTTTTATGTGAGTGCGTTTATGAGTGTTTATGCTTGTTAGGGGTAAAGCATAAAAGAGCCTGCATAACACAATGCCCAGAGGGTTATTATTCCCCCCCCGACCCCCACCCCCAAATTGGCGATGATCCTCAAAATCATAGTAGAACTACGTGATTTCATACTTAAGTGTTTCCATATATATAAATGTCCTATAATTACATATTAATATCGACCATAAAAGTTGTGGACCAGGTAAACCCATGCAAGGTGTACGAAAAAACATATTCCTATGTCAATTGACCGTAGATTCTATTGGAATGCGTTTGAGGGCAACGCGGACTAATTAGTGTCGCATTATTGACGGTTTCCCATAAAAAGTTAAGCGATGTAGAAGCTTCATCTGATTCTTAGGATTTCAAGTAGATTACTAACGCTGAGCGCTGAATTTGACGATCGCAGTGCTTTTTCTTCCGAGTTGTGTTAGCGAATACTTCAGATTTTGATAGTGCAACAATCTTCACTTAACATATTTGGCCGGTCGAGAGGCGTTGGTCCTTTCATCAACAATATTGTCAGCGCAAAACGAATTAGTATTATTAGCAGATGAAACCAGGGTTGAATGCTCCTAAAACATCCCATATAGCTATGCACCATTTCCATTGAAGACATTATTGTATTTTGATGATTGTAAATTAATATTAACCATATAAATCTAGTAATAAAGGAAAGACATCAGCTCTGATATTCAACGTGCCATCAAACTCTGAGCGTCAATTGTCTCGAACGTCGCGCTGTCCGTTTATCGACTCGCGATGGTTAAGCCAAGACTAATACTTGAACATGATACATTGCCCACGGAGACCCGTTCGTCTGCAGGCGGATAGTCAAGCATATAGGTAATTGTTAACATCCCATTAATTCTAATAACATATCCCTCGAGTATCCAGACGCATATTGGTGTAAAGATTCATTGAGATTCTACGGCCTGCATTTCAGAAAGTAGTTGGACAACTGAAGGAATAGTTATGAATTAATAATTGCTTGCGTTGAACCATCACAACAATACTTATAGCACCTGATAGAAAATATAACATGCCTGGACCATCGCTCAAATCCGTCTCGTATGTCGTCACGAATATCTCATACCGATGTCCACCCGCACTTTCCAGATTCAATAAAAGGTAAAGAGATGTTGTCAATGTTTTTGTAAAAGATGCAGACTCGAGGACGCCTTCCATTGTAGTAGACAGTTCGTTTTGTGAATGCGAATATCCTACAGGGGTCAGCCAAATAACCGATCCCCCAATTTGACCTCGTAACCAATACGTTGTTTCTCTGCAATATTGAAAAAGCAATAAATTAATATAATGAATGATAAAATTACATGCGATTACAGTACTCTAATATAATTTCATTGAATCACCAAACGTACCCCGCGCTGAACATCCCATGGTCACTCGAGCAAATGTTGCTTTACACTAACAACGACAATTAGTCGCTACGTAAATAAATATATATATATTCCGTATCCACACCTTCTGTGGATTAGCTTGCAGCAATCAATTACAGTTTCTTAATATAGTCTCATCGTAATGTGCTCGCCCACAATACACGTTAACCACCTTCTAACCACGGATGATTAGGTACTTCAAATATTGTTTTTTATAAGATCGATGGAACCTGTAAAAAAGTTTGCCAGTTAAAATAGGGGAAACAATTTTGTTAATAAGAATGTATTATGAATAACCTTTGCCCCACATAACAATACCCAATTTCATACCTTCTGACAATATATACGGAATACGTAAATCTCTTGAAAGAATCTCATTTATATTATAGATGGATTCTCTCCATATATAAGCGTATACAACATAACAAGACCCAGATATCCGCGGAGGACCATCACCAGTCAACAACTAAATAAACAAAAATTGCTCATGTTAACACATAATACGCTTCCATTACATATACATTAACTATTCTTTATGTTCGCATATTACCTCAGGCGCAATATAATCCAAATTTCCACGGAATGTATTCTACAGTTTGCCTTTTTGAACATATGCAACACTCCAAAATTAATCAACTGTACGTTACCATCCTCATCCAAAATAACATTCTCGTCTTTGATATCCCTATGCACGACATCATTCTTGTGCAAATGCCCAACCGCACAGATAACCTTTCAGAATATCGATTTGATTCAGTTTCAGGCATCGGAGCGTCCAGTTCTATGTACTCAAACAAGTCCATTCCGGTCCGTGGAGATTTCAATGTAGTAATAGTTTGTCTTTAAAAAGTTGACTGTTTATTGAAGGAGGGGCGAGGAGAATAATAAATACATAATTCTAATAAAAAACCGTGATACATGATGCAATCGGCATTCTTTTTAAATACATACTCACGTGTACTATATTTGGATGAGAGAGTTGCCGGAGTGTATGAAGAATGTGTATCTCTGACGGGATATTTCCGAGTACACATGAGGTATCCAACTGTCGACAAGAATCCTTGACTTGAAGACAAACTCTAATACCACTAGTTTCTATAATAAAAAACCAAGTATTATAAATCAACTTCAAAAAAAATACAAACCGATAGATACACGAGCCCCCAGTCGCACAAACTCGCAGACTCACCTTTTCTGGATCTTTCGTATTGTATGCCAACTTGACAATTCCATAAGCACATTCTCCCAAGCTGCGCAGGATCTTGTAATCATCAATGGTTTTTGCACGAGTAACGGCCGAATCAAATCGAGAATTAAACGATTCTTTCCCCGAAAAAATTACCGGTGGATTAAACATCAGCTGACGTACCACCTGCGTTGGAGGTCTTCTACCAGCTCGGCCAGGAATTTCGACATTGAGAACGTTTCTTCATCATCGCTATTGCTCTGCTCATCGTCCAGAGTTTCCTCTGTCTGCATTGCTTCTTCGGTCTTTGTCTCGTCATCTTTCTTTGAATCGGCTATGGTAGGTCAAGCTTTGTCATTTTCGTACCCAGGCTTCTGTCGTAGGTTATCCATAATGCACGCAACGGCTCGTCAGCATATTCGACTACTCGCGTCTGTATATCAACACTAAATTCGGTCCCATCTCTATGCATTGTGGTAATACCAGACGGCCCGCGGGGAGACGTGAAAATTTTCGTGTTCGATACGTCATTAGAATATGCCGACTTGAGCAAGATCGCAGTATGACGGAACGCACTCTCAGGTATTACGGTTCCTTCGACTAGGTCGTGCCCTGATTTCAACATATCGTTCAAGCCCGGAAATTGTCGTGACAAGACTATATATTCTTCTTTCCGATCGATCGATGCTTGTCCACTTGGCCCAAACAAATATTCTTACTACAAGCCTGAACAGTCCCCGACGAATAAGCATGCAGAAATTGTTTCGTGTTTAGATATAAAGCTGTTATATCAGTTCCTTCCAATTCTTCAGCGGGACAACTGTAGAGAGCCTTTAGGTCATCAGAATTATTCCCTAAATAAAGAACCACACCGGGTAAAACAAAAGAATTGGAGAAAACGCGATAGAAGGTCAAGGAAATTCTGCAGACAAACCTCTTGATTGATCCATTGTTAATTCGACAAGTTTTTGAAATATCCAAATAAATATAGAATTGCTACAAGCATCCTTTTCCCTTTGAGCTATAAGAAGCAGCCGACACCTCATAATGCCTCTCTCGCGCGTTAAATAGGGTGGTGTTAAAATTCCCGCCCCCTTCTTTTTTCACTCAGTTTTTCTTTTGTATCGGTACCCATAAAGAGATTGTGTGAATAAGAGTATGAAAATATCCCGACGAGAGAACTCCCCCTTTCCTCTTATAATACTTACGATATTACCACATGCCAATACCGATTCATTCTCATCGTCATTTTCTACCTCGTCAAAGCCTTGACTAGCGTTTCTGAATAGGAGCTTGCAATCAAATCAAGAGCCTTGATACTGCATTTTAGTTTTTCTTACATCAGACCTGTTCGATTTCTCGTGCAGAAATTTTGACGTGTGGATTTGTGTGACAGTAGAAAGTTGGTTTTTATTTAAGATTAAACCAACAAAGTAAGTGATACAATGTGTTATATTTTCGCGAGAGATTCTTTTATTCACTACTTGAAGCGATGAGTTCAAATATCCCAGTGATAATTTTTTCTTTTTATTAGTAACCTTCATCAGTAATCTCGAACAAACTACAAGACTTTT